ATCAGTCTGCGTCTTTGAAATGAACATGTCAAATCTCTAATCGCGATTGTAACTCTAACTTAGAATCCTGCGTGGGTACATGTAGCTTATGAATGTTCCCCAGTCTACTAACCGTAAGAACACTGTGAATCCTAGGGGAGTATTTTGCAATTGTACTTGTTGTATGGAGTCTCTGTTGTCTATTACAGTACTTTTTTATGTAATGATATATTTTACCCCTTAACTTTATCGCAGTTATATCTTTTTTTCGGGTCGAAGATCAAACTTGTATCAGTCACTTCTTTCCAGTATATTTCTCACTATCGAATTTTGTGTCTTACCCGACAAAGTTCTCAACATCTTCGCATCGTTCTTTCAACAGTGTTTATTCTTACAAGCAAAAAAAAATCCAAACTTGCCCAATACTTGCTTCTCCTACACTGTCTCAATCAGCTACAACGATAACATATGAACTAATTCGACATTTTTCAGCCGAACTCCGGAAATATACTAGGTATTCAAAGGGAATCATCTCCCGAATTACTCTAACAGGGTTAGAGCCATGATCAAATTGGACTAGGCAAGTCAACGATCAACGACATATCTTATCCCCTACACCTTTGAACTGCATACTTCAATTCAATTCTTTGTTCTTAGAAGATGTACATATAGCAAAAAACTATCAGCTACCATTGACTCTGATATTCCACGTAAAAAAAATTTACTCACAGCACTATATCCTAATTTAACCATATTAATGAGGAGAAAAAAAAACACAGATCGTGTGACATATCACAAAGAAGAGATACACATATCTGTGCGTTTTACTATGAAGTGTATTCAGCTCATTGTTGCAGAGAAGAGGTGCTTCAAGGGTGGGTTTCTAAAGTTTCTACTAGGATGGAGCAGAACAGTGAGATGCTGCAAATTAAACAGAGGCCTCCGTGATACATTCCTTATCATAAATCTAGATGATGAATACTGACTGCAGAATGTCAAATCTCCTTTTGTCTTTTTCTTGTTGATGGTACTGCCGGATGTTGGGCACAGATGAGGCGATAATGGTGCGGATGGCCAGGGTCGAGATTATTGACAGTATCGCGATGCTGTAGAACTTCTCGGAAATCCATGAAGTCTAGGCCTCATTCAAAGTCAATTGTTTACCCATTTGATTTGGTGCCACGGGCAATCTTAGCTGTGCATTCGCAGCATAATCATTTTGGGTACAGTTGTGATGGTGAGCGTGATACCAGTGCAAATTCGGACCGGGGGGCGTTCTTGTGAATAATGCGCACAAATTTAATCATGCTCTACTTCACGACCACAAAAAAGCCCAGTACGGTTGACGCGAAAATAGCACAGGTAGAAACCTGGTCGGAAAAGTAGGTATGCCTTGGGTGTTATACGTCCAGTGCTGCCAGTAATTGTTGAGGTGTGTCAAACACGCAACCCCGCCAACAACAGCCAAACAACGCGTCGACTCGGTGTAACTGCTTGACAACGCAGATAGCTACCACTACGCAGAAAAAAACATAACAGAGAAATAAGCAGAGAAGCGCTCTTCGACATGAGAAAAAATTGAGGGACTAGGATCAAGAGGGTGGTGAGAAGAGGACATTGGGTAGAGCTACCTCCTGGGGCGCGTGACACACCCTCACCTGACACATATTACGAGACACGTCATCGACTTGACACGATTGCCAGAGGGGTTGTACACAGGAAGAGATACGCAACAATAGAGTTCCTGATAGCTAGTAAGATGAGCCTTATTTTGGTCAGAATTTCGTGCATGTCGAGTATGTTGGGGAAGGGTAATCGGAGTATCTCTGTGCACAAGCGAAACACCACGGAAGGAGGCGGAACGCAGCGCATAGAATACCCAAACACCACCAATGCTAGCGTAAAGTCAAAACTCTGGATGGCCGAGAACGCTCGGGGTGAGAAACAGATAGACGGTTAGACTAAGAAAAGCTGAGGCAGGTAAGGAGACGCGCTCGTACGCGGGCGGGCGAGATGTTGTAGCATGCATTTGCGCGATGGATTGGCTAGCTGGGCAGAACTTGAGGCCATGTCGAAGCAGAGACGGTCAAGGTAGAATTAACATGGATCACTGTTGGTACACGAACGGGAAAACAAAAAGCGCCCGGCTTTGGGCACACGGGCAAAAGTCTGGTCGAGGCAAAAGCTTATGGGTGGGTGTCGGGGCATGCGGACAGAGGGACTGAGGGATGAGGGACGAGAAACGAGGGAGGGGTTGAACGCGTGCGCTTCCATGAACACGGCAACGCGCCCCAACTGGCCGACTGGATTTGTGTAGGAGAGCAAACAAACGAGACGAGATCACCCTGAAGCGCTCTAGGTTGGTGAAGGGGAGGGAGAGTTAGCGCACTTTTTGCGGGTTGGGAAAAAGAGCGCATTTGGATCACACAGGCGCTGAGATTCCTATAAATTGGCCGCCCCCCACTTGCACGCGCGCTCTTGCCCTATCGCAAACCTCCCAACACCACCACAACCTCTCCATCGCTCTTGGTCTTGCTCTGCTCATTCAAACCTTCAATCACACATCTGCTATCCAGTCCAAATTAACCATCACAATGCCTCCCAAGAAGACCACCACCCCTTCCAAGCCAAAGGCCCCCTCTGCCGCCCCTGCACATGGCTCCTACATCGGTATGTTGTATATCCCCAGCACAGCACCAGCGCAACCTATATGCGTCCATGGCCTGTTGCATCATGATCGCCGATGAATGCTAACCGTGTATTGTAGACATGGTAAAGGATGCCATCATCAATGTGAGTCTATCCTCCCAGGCGCATTGCCAGTTTCCCCCGCACCGGGGATTGCGACGCCAGCGCATCACCGCACCTCCTCCACCTAGTGTAGCTTTGATCAACATGATTACTGACGTGCCCTTTTCGCAATACAGCTCAAGGAACGCAATGGATCAAGGTCAGTAAATCCATCTCATGTTGATGTGTTGTTGCTTTCGCGCCGCGTTGTGCTTTTGTCGCAACACGCGCCTGTCAGAAACCTTGCTAACTTTTCCCTGCAGCCGTCAAGCCATCCAAAAGTACATTCAAGCCAACAACAAGCTCGGCAACCTGAGCGATGCTGCTTTCAGGGGCCACGTCAACCGCGCCATTTCCTCTGGTGAGGAGAAGGGTGACTTTGCGCGTCCCAAGGGTGAGTGCCTATCCCTCCGCCACAACCTAACCCGTGACGCGTTTCTCTAGCGTCGCTCATCGCCCATTGACCTGGACATTGCTGACACGTCGCGCAGGCCCATCTGGACCAGTAAAGCTTGCTAAGAAGGAGGCTAAGCCTGCTGCTGCCGCCAAGAAGTCTGAGTCTAAGTCTGAGAAGAAAGTCACCGAGAAGAAGACCGAAAAGAAGACTGCCGAAAAGAAGAAGGCTCCTGCCACCAAGAAGGCCGCCAAGGACTCCCCCAAGGATGAGACTAAGGAGGAGAGCGCTACCGTATGTATCTATGCTTGTATTTCCAATAACCAAGGCTGACATAATCCGTAGGAGACTGAGACCACCACTAAGGCTGCCCCCAAGAAGAAGGCCGCGGCTGCTCGCCCAAAGAAGGCTGCCGCCACTACCACCAAGGAGAAGGCTGCCGCCAAACCCAAGGCCAATGCCAGCAAGCCCCGCAAGACAGCTTCCGCCAAGCCCGCTGTCGAAGAGGAAGTATCACGCGTTCTCGGCAAGACCAAGTCTGGCCGTGTCACCAAGAGCAAGGCTGCCACTGCTGAGCCAAAGGCTAAGGCACCAAAGAAGACCGCCGCACCAAAGAAGAAGGCAACTGAAGAGAAGAAGGAGCCTGCCGCAAAGAAGGCTGCCGCACCTAAGAAGGCCACCACCCCCAAGAAGAAGACCACACCCAAGAAGGCCACACCAAAGGCTGCCAAGGCATGAGGTTGATTCTTGTCCTTTGTTGATGTTGTTTTCCTTTTGAACTGCTTCAGTCGTCTGGCATAGAAGCATATGCTAGACTACACCTTCTTCACGGATTCCCTTTTGTCTTACAATCAGTCTCTGGGTTGGTTCTATGGGCGGTCAAACAGCGTTAGTGTACCGGGTTGATATGGATGGGAATATGGGCTGGATGTTCCTTTTCTCTCTCTCTCGCTCTTCTTATGTCGAGTATGTTGGCGGGGCGTTTCGGGCGCGCGGTTTGTCTCAGTCTCCAGCGCTTTCATGTCTGTGTTTTACCACATCAGTTTTTTTGTCTTCTCTTTTTTTTCTCTCACTCTCACCAGCTGTCGCCGCGCTTTCTTATGGCGCGTACATATCGAGAGAGGATAATCGCTACGACGTAACGCTCATCGTCTCAAAGCAATGAAAAAAACTATTACACACTTCAAATATTTGCACCTTCTCTTTGTAATGTATGTGAAGCGAGTGAATATGGATGAAGTACGTGTTGTTTTCGCACGCACGCGTCGAGGTTGCGTTCCTCGTGACTTTGACCTACTACGCCACCTGACTGATATGATAAGATAAGACTAGAGCGTTTGTATCGCCAGCCCAGCCTTGCGCCGCTAACATAATTCCTACCTGTACAAACGTCGCTTTGTATCTTCAGAAATCCTGGATTTCCCCAAGTAGCATTTTTGGTATCCACATGACTGAACTCGACGCCTCGTGAAAAAAAAAAGTTAGATATCACCTATTATGTCACAAAAAAAAACTATTCACGCAGAACAATCGACCAACATGCTGGGGAAAAAAACAAATCAACTGATGAAGTATCATATACATTCTATTCATTTTTTGGTCATATCATATTTACCAAGCAAGAAGAAAAAAAAGAGGAGGCGGTTCTATAATCCCCTTCATATATACAAAAAATGGATAGTTCCACTTAAACACATTAACGCCTTACCCCATTCATTCATTCTTGCCTTCCTTTCCATCAAACTTTTTTTCTCTTCTTCTTCTCTTTTCTCGAACATATGAAAGAGAAAAAGAAAAAGAAAAAAAAGAACACAAGAGCAAAGTTATATCAACTTGTTTACTCAGTGTACTTGCACTTCTCAGCGTTCCAATCATTATCAACACGGGCCTCGAATTTGGTGCAGTTCTGGCCGGCGGGATGCTCAAAAGTATCCATCCAGACCTTGTACTGGCCCGGTGCATCCGGGGAGATGGGGCAGGCCTGGAGGCCCGCGACTGGTCCGGTGGGGGAGAACTGGAGCTTAAGGAGACCGTTGTCGTCGATGAAGAAGCCCTCGCGGAGGGAGTTGCTGGGGAGGGGCTCGGCGCCCGTGGTGTAGCGGATGTTGCCCTGGCCCATGCCACCGGGCGCCGTGTAGAATTGCTGGGGCGGGTTGTCCGTGTAGAGGGAGAGAGTGTTGTTGCCGAAGACAAAGGTCGCGTAGTTGCGGGGCTCGGGGCCGCAGGAGGCGCCTTGGTCGGGAAGGCCGATGAGGAGGCCGCCGTTGGCGGCTTGCAGGAATTTGTTGTCGAAGTCGGTGCCTGGGGCGATGGTGAAGAGGCGCGAGGTCCAGAAGAGGGGGATGATGTCTGGGTTGTCTTCGTCCTGGCGAGCTTTGAGGGGGCTGGCGGCGGCAAGAGCAGCGACGCTGATGGCAATGGCGGCGGTGGTGAACTTCATGATGATTATTAGATTATGTAGTTGTTGTTATTGTACGTTTAGTAGTAGTGGTAGTAGCGAAGGTGGATGTCAGCTGGATGATGAGTTTCGAAAGAGAGGGACATGTCGGACGGGTTATATACACAAAGAGCCTCCATTCTCCAAGCCCGTCCATCATGGCCCGGTTGACGCATGGATGCACACTACCGAAGGACGGAATGAGGCCAATGTGCTCGGCGTATTACCCTCAGTGATGCCGCATGGGATGATTTGCGAGCCGAACACGATGCCCCCACATTTTGGCAGTGCTTTTAGGAAACGCGCCACAGCCGGTGCGGATGTCCTTCAAGGTTCACAAAGGATCAGGGTTGCAAAAAGGCTGCATGTCCGTACTGCCGCGCCTGGGTCTATCGAGTGTTCGCATGAAGGCCGAATCAAAATCGTAGGCGGTGACGTGGCTATGCCCTAGAGCCAAGGGCCGAGTCGATGCCCCCTGGCAGTGGTTCCATCCGCCGGGATAACCCTATTCGCTCTTTTGCCGTTCACTCACAATAATAGAAACACTCCACTGGCCGCTGGGAATTGTTTGGCCGCATTGCCCTTGGCGAAGATCATAATGTCACGCTTGTTGTTCGTCTCTCGTGTTCTTTGCTTCTAGCCTACACGTGGATTCCTAGGTAGTCGGACAGCGCATTGTCTTTTGCCACTTTCAATATCTCGCTTCTCCTGTACAAACACAACACGTCTCGCCAGCTGGGTGATTCAGTGTCTTCACGCAAAGCAGGGAACAATATGGTTTCTCACCGCCAGGCTCATCTCCCGTGCCCTGTCAGATACCCACCGCCGGACCTACAGAATTCTGGAGTGCGTGCTTTCCGGATGTAACGGTCATGCACTATTGTAGCACGGCCACTATCCCAACGACTAAAATGTATTTTTACACCAAATCCACTTATGACATATTTGCCACTGCGCCTTAACTGTAGCGTCTTGTGATGGAATTCGAATGCTACTCACTATTGATACGTACCTCTTTTAGACATTGCTTCCCACTATTTCATGTGGCCAGTCTGTATATGTAGCTGGTACCTTTCTATTTCTGTAAACAGTACATGGTGGACCCTATATACGCATGTACATAAGGTCCAACCTGTATTGTTGACCTCACTGCATAGAACCTGTATGCTATGTCATGTACCAAAGTGTCTGGAAAGTTTATGTTGGAAACTTCAAAACAGTCGGCTTACAGCGCATGGGCTCAACAAGAAAGTCTTTACTGTTCCCGGTCAGACTATTCTTCGCCCCAACTGCCAATCAACAGTCGCCTGTCTGTACCTCGATTACTGTACATTGGTTGGTTTATTTAGGTAAGCTTGAATCTGAAACGCTCGGTGCTATGAAGAATAGGCGTTCGTAAATTTAAGGAGGAGCTCAGCGCTCTTAGCATCTATAGCGGCGAATGTCACGTGTCGGCTAGTGAGCTTTGACTCGACCAGCGAATTACCAAGTGCCCTTAGATAGATGTATTTATTCAGAAGAAGTGTTCTGATAGAAAGTCATATATGTATACGCCTGTTTGCAAATGTAGTAGCTGTACACTCATACTAGACTCGCTGTGCTTCTCGAAAAGTACCAGTTTCGGAGCTATGGCATATTAAAAGGGGTTAGGCTCGCCCAGATGATGCTGACAGTGCTGACAACAAGCGGTAAGTTACGTTGTCGGTGGGGAAAAGGTTCCTGTAGTCCTAGTATAGAAGTACTTGCGAAGACCATGAACAAGGGACAAATAATGTTCCTGCTTCCCTCCTCCCACTTGCTCCGAGAGATTAGGTTTTCTCAGGTAACCATACCGTGCCCCACCACCTCGCGCACACCACCACCTCGCGCACACGCGGCCTTGCAACTACCACAACTTCAACACCTTGTATCTCCACCACCATGAGCAATATTGAGGCTGCAATTGCAGCTATTAATGCCTTAGAGCCTGACGAGCCTTTTACATATACAGAAATTGCAAAAAGATTTGGTGTTGATCGATCTACACTC